TCCACTTTAAAATGGGCACATCTGGTTTTTGACTGAGCGTTCACTGGCAAATAATAGCATTTCTTTTCAGTCCTGCAATGCTACTTCAGTGTTTCAGATAGAAATAGTGTAAAGCTCAGAGAGCTTCTTCATCGTTAGAAGCTAAGCGTGCTGTGTCCTGTTTCTCCTGGACTCCTGATTTCTCTGTCCGCTTGCTTGCACATTGAAAACAAGAGGGGCCTTGAAAACGTAATCCCACGGTAACTGGCACGTGAAACAGTGTGTGGCGTGTGCATGGATTAAGGAAGCAGATTGACTACCAGTGCCACTTTCACACTGCATTCCTCTCCTGGCCTACTTTTCTGCCTGCCTCCTTAAGTTTTATTGCTCTTTAAAATAACACGTACCCTAAGCTAAATATTGTGTTCCTTAGTTTTGCTTGATTAGGGCCTTAAAAAAAAAATGGTCTCAGTATGAAGGCTTTCTTTACTGAAACAGAAATAGCATGTTTCACCAGGGTAAACTTGACAGCACAATGGCCCATTGTGATGTTGTTTACACACTTATGTTTTTTATTGCCTTCAGTACTATGTAATTTGGACTTGCAACTGATTAGCCAATTAGGAGTTGGAAAGAAGATATATAAATGTTACCATCTAGCTGACAGAATGATTAATTAGGAGCACATATTTGGGGAGTGTCACCTGTCACCTGCTTTGTTGTGTGGGAGGCCTCATGTCAAACCTAAACACTGGTGTCAGTGGCAGACCTGTGCCCAACTCTTTAAGAAACCCAGGCACAGTCTAATCCCAGTCAAGTACAACTTGTTTGTTTGCCAGTGGTAACCAGCTGATCTGAAAATACACGTACCTTTTCTGTGGCTTCGGTTAGTGTGAATGAAAGCTTCTCACACACGAGGGTAAGCCATTGCCTTTCCTGCTCATGCTGTCACCTCCTTTTCTTCCATGTCAGTGGTTTTTTTTTTTTTTTTTTTTGTCCTTTTCAGTTGCCAGTTGGGTGTCTCGGCCTGAAGTTTACAAGAGACTTCTCTGCTTCCTTTGAAAACTCTGAATTTTTTTTTCTTTTATTAGCCTTGTATTTATCTTGATTTCAGAGGAGGGTAGAGATTTTTTTCATTAAAATTAATACGAATATTTTTATTTATATTTTGTCTTAATGTGATTTAGGTAGACAGCACTGACAACTACTTTTATGAAGGAAATAAGAATTTATGAAAATAAGGATTTATTTCTGGATATGCTTTTCTTATGTGATATATCTTGACCAGGTTCCCCTCTCTGCACTCCTTCCACGTCCCCCACCCCTGCCCTTCCTCTCTCCCATCTATTTAACCTCTGTCTCCCCATCAGAAAAGAGCAGGCTTCCAAGAGACAATCCATCACGGCACAACAAAATACCATTAAAAAAAGCCCTTGCACTGAGCCTGGAGGAGGGAGCTCAACAAGAGGCAGAGTCCCAGAGCAGGTGAAACAATCAGAGTCACACTTGCTCCCACTGTTACAAGTCTCACAAAACCACCAAACTAACAGTCCTAACACACAGAGAGGGCCTGGGGCAGAGGCATGCAGGCCCATGTTTGCCGCTTCAGACTCTGTGAGTGCACAGGAGCCCTGCTGAGTTGATTCAGTTGTCCATGTTGTCTTCTTTCCCCTGTGACTCCCAGAATCTCTCCTTCCCCTCTTCCTTGGGATTTCCAGAGCTCTGAGGGGAGAGTCCTGATGGACCTCCAATTTAGATTCTCTCTGCATAATGTCTGGCTATGGTCTCTGCATCTTTTCCCATCTGTGTCTGGAGGAAACCTTTCTAATGACAACTGGATGAGGCCCCACACTGGTCTGGTTTCCTGGCAGCGGAAAATAAAAATTCAATTTGAATGCAAACTTCATCTAGAAACCTTTAGAAAGATATTAAAAGCTTCCTACTATGAAAAGGGCCACAAGTACGTTCACTGCCAGGTAATAATCTGCCATTATTGTCTTTGTTTTGGAAGGCCACTTCTACTGGGCCAGGCTTATAGTTCATATCCACCAAAAACTGAAGGGGAATGTTTGACCCCAACACTTGAGAATTAGCCCTGGGGGTTAAATACAAGGAGTATAGAGCATTACAAATAATTAACACAAGCTCTTTAGCAGCTGTTCCTGTTGCTTACAGGAGCCGTGCATTGAAGTGTGCACCCAGCCATTCTGCATGTTTCCTCCTGAAGGATATGGATGTATTTGCAAGTGCACTAGTTTAGCAACTGGAGGCAATTTATAGCATTGGCTGTAGACTGTGATGAATACAGAAGTTTTCTTATGTGCCGCAGAACAACTTTTCCCTGATTTCTTCTGACCCTGGATCCCCAGAAAGATCCTTACCTTAACCCCTCCTTCTGCCTAAGCTAGGTTCAGGACACAGACAGAATTTTTATTTGTGGCTTGGTGAAAAGTCTCATCCTATCAAAACAATTTGCTTCAATTTTCTGCTCTGATTGGAAAGAGCATGTTTCTGGTTGCTGTTGCTTATGGCCATGATGGGAATGAAGGAAATAGGTTTCTGTTTGGGTTTTAATCACACATGCAGGTGCTGTCCCAAAGACACATGTAGCTAATATGAAGGTGAGTGTTGGTTCGACTCACCTTAGGAGACTCCTGCTCACTTCCTGTCTAGTGTTCGTTTAAGGACTTTAACAGATCGTGGGAACAGAGATGATGATAAAAATAAAGATAGAAAGTTTGAAAAGTGACATTGTTCATGGGTTATGACATAAAAGGCTTTCCTTTGCCCTCAATGCATTCCCAGGTAAAAATGAAGAACTCTAGGCTCTCTCCATTCCGGTACCCTGTAGAGAAGAAGCTTTCTCCAAAAGGATGCCTCTTCCCATTCTGAGATCCCATGTACATAGCAGTGGCCGTTGTCTCAGCTGAACAGAATACAGGGAATATGATTAAGTAAGGCTCACACAGGTGGTGAATGGTGAACAGGAACTTTAAAAAGCCAGACAAAGCAAGGACCAGAAAAGAACATGCTGGATGGTGGCTAGAGGAAGGTACTGAAGCAGTGTCAGGAGGAAAGGGTGGACACTTCACAGCACTGGAGTGAGGGGAAATGACAATTACATCTTCAAGAGGAGCATGGGGGAGGTGAATGGATCCAGTAAAAGCCTCCAGAGAACATCATATAAGGAATTTCGGAAATCTGCTGTGTATTATAATTATACTGCTGCTTGCACCCCTCAGCCTCCATGTTTGTCTAGGAGTATGATAGCTGAAATGTTTTTAGCAAGGTGACTATAAACTCCCAAATGTAGGTTTGCCCAAGAAAAATGTGTCCAGTGAGATCAATATTTTCCCCCAGTTCCAGAAAAAGTGACCGTAAGCCAAGTGCTGTCAGTAAACTAGTGGTGCCCCAGGAAGTGGTTCATGTTGTGGAGGGAGTGTCTTAGCTACTGTGCTATTGCTGTGATAAGACTCCATGACCAAAGCAGCTGATAAAACTATGTATGTGTGAGGCTTACAGTCTCAGAGGGTCAGAGTCCATGGTCACATGCCAGAGAGCAGGCATATGCCAGGGAGCAGGCAGCAGGCAGGCATGGTGCTGGAGCAGTAGCTGAGAGCTCTCATCGTGAGACATACCCCAGAGCAGAGAAAGCTAATTGGGAAGAGAGTAGGTGCTTAAAACTTCAGAGCTCACCCCGGGCACATCTCCAAAGGGCCACATCTACTCTAACAATGCCACACCTCCTACTCCTTCCCAAACATTTTTACCAAATAGGGAACATGTATTCAAATATGTGGGCCCCATTCATATTCAGACCAACACAGGGAATATTAAGCATTGGATCTGGGGATAATCAGGTCACACCTGGGGAAGGACAGGGAGGAGATGAGGGAAGGAGGGTGGGGTTGGGAGGAGCTAACGGAGGGGGTACAGCTAGGATACAAAGTGAACAAATTGTAATAAATAAAATTTAAAAAAAACACTATAAAGAAAAGAGCTGACTGGAGACTCAGAAGGGTGAGGGATGACATAGATCAACATAGAGAAGAGGCAAATAGTTCCAGATTGGAGGAGAAAGACTCTGTTATTCTTTGATAGTGTTCCAAGACTGTGAATTAAAAAAATTATTTCTGCAGGCTGGTACCTGGAATATCTTTATATCTTATGAAGTTGGAAATATCAGTTTTTGTGGTTCTCCATGTTTCATTCAACATTCTTTTATTAAATTCCTGGTCAGTCAAATATTTGACAGACCGCACAGTATTACATGGAAGATTATCTAAAAACTCATTTGCTGGATCTCTGTGATTACAGCTGCAGTTTCATGATGTGCTCAAATGAAAGCTGCCTGTGAGGTTGCATCTCTCAAATAAAAGACAGACTTTACAGTGAAGACTGTCCCTGTAAGGTTAGGGGACATTCATTTGCTAATTGCAGAGACAGCCTGCAACAAACTGTGGGTTAGAGACAGAAAACTCAAGTCTAAACATACTCTATTTTTTTACTCCCCCAAATGGCAAGATAAAGTGTTTTTTTTTTGTTTTTGTTTTTTTTTTTTTTTTTAAGATGATGTCTTTCCTGCAACATGGCACATAAAAGAAACAGCCCTTCACCACTGTGTTCACATGTTTGTGGTGTCTGCTTGATAGTGCAATGAATAGGAAAAAAGGCCTGGTTTTGCTTTTTGCCAGGTCTACTCCCTTGGTCTTAGGGGACAGAGAGTGAGTTTGCAGCTCAGAGAGTTCTCACTTCACTTCAGCTGTGATGAGGCTCAGAATCTGGCTCTGGTGTATAAGTTTATGTGTCCATCTCTACATGACAATATTCACAGTTGCCTCTACTGGCTCCAGACAGATTCCTATCCATATGGGCTACAGAAATGTATTCAACTTTCTAAGATACTTATTGTTAGAGTTGCCATTTAATCTTTGGGTCTGTCAATACGTTAATGAGGAAGACCATGCTTTGTACTTGGCGCTCTACTGTTGTGCCCCGTTAATAATTTCTTTATGTCAAAGCCTCACAGACATACCGAGAAGTACTCAGATCTTACAGAACAACAAGTGATGGCATCACCTCATCAACATGCCAAACATGAAGCTGTCCTATATCCTCTCCAGATCTCCAGTCTGTCAGAGGTGAGCACTGTTCTGCCTTCACCAGTAGGTCAGCAGTGCTTAGAGCAGAATTATATAGTTTCTATTGTGTTTTCCTTAGGCTGTTTGCATAGTAACTCTCTGTGGGGCTTGTGGATGGTTGCAAGTATTGGCACTTATTCTTACCACTGCTATTTGAGATCCTTTAGGTTTGTTTTAGAGTTGCTTTTCTGATGGATTTTTTAATTACTTTTATATCCTAAATAATTTTAATAATGCTTCTATGAGCATATACATGTATGGTGAGTGTTTGTGTGCATGTGTGAGTGCATGTATGAATACATATGTATGGGTATTTCTGACTACAAGTACCATGGATGAGTGATAAACAGACCTGTGTAGATACTGCCAAATGATTTCCCCAAGTGGCTCTTACTATATCTCTTTCTGATGGAAGTGTTTAGAGGTGCCAGTTCTTCTGTATTTCAGTAAGACTTTGTGGCATTGGTATTTTTTTAAATTTTCTTAGAAATATTCTAGCTATTCTGATAGTCTTTAGTAATATTTTATTATAGTTTTAGCTTGAGTTTTTCTGATCACTTAAATTGTTACACATTTTTGTTTGTTTCAATGGCCACTTGAGTAGCCTGTTCTGTGAAATGCCTATTGAACCCTTTGTCCATTAAAATAAAGTTGAATGATCTCACTTTTAGTTTCTGGTTTATAGAAAGTTACTTCTAAGTAAATGATATGAATCCTTTTCAGATACATACAATAGTTTATTTCCCCACATCTGTGACTTAGCCTTCATCTTTGTGGTATGTGTGTGCATACCTTGTATGTGTGTGCACATGTATGCACATGTGCTCATGGATGTGTATGATGAGGTTAACTGTGTCATTCCTCAGGTGCCACCATCTTGTTTTTGAGGCAGGGTCTCTCTTTGACCTAGGACTTGCTGTTTAGGTTTGACTAGAGTAGTAGGAGGCAGTCCTCTTGTCTCTGCTGCACAGTACCAGGATTATGAGTATAAGTGACCACACTAGGCTTTTTTACAGATATTCTGGGGATGGAACTTAGGTCCTCATGCTTGCAAAGCAGGGGCTTTCCCAATTGAACCATCTCCTTAGTCCTATTTGTGTTAAATTTATATTTGTTGAATTCTTTACTTTGCTGAAGCACAATTTATCAATCTACTTCATTGCTGTGGACTTTTTTTTTGCCTTTTATGTAGTATTCAAAATCATGAGGGAATTTTCCTATAGGGCTTCCAGAAATTTTACCATCCTGCATTCATTTCTGTCCATCTCATAGTGATGTTGTGTATGGTGTGACAAAGGAGTCAAGGGTTATTGCTTTCCCCCATGACTATCTATTGTCCTCTAGCAGCTTTGCTGTAAATCAGTGTCTTAACTCAGCTCCCCTCATCTGTTTATTTTTGCACTAATGCCTCACTCTATTAACTGTAAATTCAGCCTTGGAGTCCCGTGTTGTTAGTCCTCCAACTTTGTTCTTAGAGATTATTTTTATTTCATTTCCATTTAACATTAGCATACACTTGACAAATTTTAAATAAAGAGTTTAAGCTATTAATTGGTATGACAAAAAACCCTTAACCCATAACTTATGGTTAATAGACACTTTCTCATATTGTTCTTTCTGGCAACAGAGCCTATTACCCCATTTCTGCCGGTGGTCTCTTACCTTACATGCATAAGCTCTGTGTTTTCTTTGTGGAGTCCCTGCTTCTCTTCCAGCAGCCTCACATCTCCTTATGTGCCTTCTCTTTACCAGTAATCAAAACCTTGCTTTAGACTCACATACTTAGCAGCATGTTAACAGAGAAACTATTTTGAAACTGAAGAAAGGAAATGCCCTTCACCTTGAGAAGGAGGTGTGGGTTTTTTTTTTTTTTCTCTTTCTCTTGGTGGTTTGAGGTATGTGTGATGCAGAATGTCCTGTCCAGATGGAATCTTGGATATCCTTAAAAGTAGCAGATGTGTGTGGGCAGAATGAGAGAACTATTGAGAAGCATACTGAATGTTTTGAGTTATCATATGTATAGTTCTTTGAATGAAGAAACCAGTGCATGTTTTAAGTACCTGATACATTTTCATTGATGCTGAACAAATCCATTCTAAAACAAATGGATTGTGTCCTTTACAATCTTCCTTAAATCTTTGATTTACTATTGCCAGTCAGTAGAGTTTAAATTCTTTACAGTTAGTGGTTAAACACTGTCAAGGTGACTGAGTATGGGATACATTTTGTTTTTGAATTACAGTCAGGGGTACATTCCATTAAATAAAGAAAATCTCCTCAATATGTAACAAATCATACTCAAATGACTTATAAACATACTATTTAAGGGATAAAACATTCTGGAGTTGCCCCTGGTTGCTACTTTTTTTTCTCTTTCATTTCTCATCAAGCTTTGGGAATGAACTGTCTTTCCTTACTGATTTCACACTCTCTGTTCCAATTCCCATCCCACACTGGCCCCTATCTCTGAAGGCTCATTAACTGTGCTCATCATCAAGGCCATAGTCTCCTGCTTCCTGGATCTAGTAATCAAATGTTTAGTTTAGTTTTGTTTTTCATTTGAAGTTGTTGAAATGCCCCTTTGTACATCTCCCTGCTCACCTTTCTTATCATTGCTCTCTCCTGATCTTTCTGCTTTTCAAACTCTTCTTTAGGCTGTTTTTAGTGCCCTCTTCATGCCCTTTATGCTGATGTTCACGTCACATTCACATTTCCTGTTTCCTGTGGCTTTCTTGATGGTCAGCAATCTGTGGATTTTGGAGCCTGGTCCTGAACTACCTAACTGTGTGTATGTCCAACTTTCTCGTGGATTACTTTTTTTTCCAGGGCTCTGAAGACTTGAAACTTAACACGGCATAAGGAAACTTCAGTGTGCTCTTTACTTTGGCGATTGGTACCTTTTCCACTGTGTTAGTCAGTTGTCTGCATCTGTGAAAAATACCAGAGAGAAATAACTTAAAGGAAGAGATTATTTAGCTTGCTCATGATGTTAGAGGTCTCATTTCCTCATGATGGAGGAGAGCAGTGCAATAGTTTGTCAGTTCAAGAGTCAGGAGAGAGGGTGGGGAGTGGGGAATATGAGCACATAGTTTCTTGCTTTTTTCCCTTTTATCATCTGCTGCCCATATTTAGGACAGGCCTTTCCAAGCCTTAAAGACCCATCCACACATATGCCTCGATAACCTAGGCTGACGATCAGGAGTAACAGTTTTATAGCCCATGCCGGAAAGTCATCTTTGTTTTTTCTTTCTTTTTGTTTTCCATGTTCATGGACAGCATCCTTTAGGATTTTCCTCCATATCCTTAACATCTCTATAGTATCCTTAATATTCTCCTTTTTGTATCAGCCATCTCTTCTCTCTTCTGACATAACTATACCCCTACCTTGCCTGAGCTACTTCCTAATTGGCCTATCTGCCTAAGATTCTATCACCCTCTAACCCTGTATCAGTTCTCAGGTAAGGTTTCTACAAGGAGCAACTCCTACTGCTCAGCAGTAGGCCAATTCTCCATTTGGTGTGAAGACTTTTTTTTTTTTTTAAATATTACAGTTTATTCACTCTGTATCCCAGCTGTAGCTTCTCCCTCATCCCTCCCTTTCTCAGTTTCTCTCTCCCTTTTCTCCTCCTATGCCCCTCTCCAAGTCCACTGATAGGGGTGGTCCTCCTCCCCTTCCATCTGACAATAGCCTATCAGGTCTCATCAGAATTGGCTGAATTGTCTTCCTCTGTGGCCTGGTAAAAATACTGTTCTCTCTTCAGGGGGTGGTGATCAAGAGCCAGCCACTGAGTTCATGTCAGAGACAGTCCCTGTTCCCCTTACTAGGGAAACCCACTTGGAGACTGAGCTGCCGTGGGCTACATCTGTGCAAGGGTTCTAGGTTATCTCTATGCATGGTCCTTGGTTGAGCATCAGTCTCAGAAAGACCCCTGTGCTCAGATTTTTGGTTCTGTTGCTCTCCTTGTAGAGCTCCTGTCCCCTCCAGGCCAATGAGCATTCTCTGGAGATGAACTGGCAAACCTGGCTAAAGGGCTCCCAGGGCTATTCCTGGAGGTGATCTTCGCTCTAAGGATTATTCTTCATGCATCATTTCTCAAGGGATGCCTGCAGGCACTTCAGTAGTTGGTGCATGGCTGTTTTCCAGAAGACAAAGTGAGAGTTCAGAGACTGAAAATTATTTAAAGGCAGCAGGGTATCTATTCAGTATACTGGACATAAAAACATAAAGATGAATAGCTACAACTATTTTCAGGACACTCAGAGTCTCCTAGGACAGGAAAACAAAAACCAAAAATGAAACACTATGATAACAACAACAACAATAACAATAATAACCACCCACAGTAACATATGTTCATGAATTCAAGGGTGGAGAATATGAGGCATAGATCCTGGATACCTGGTAACTTTAGCCATGCTTTATCAAGAAAATAATGGAGCTGGGTTTGAAAGATAAATAACATGTGGACAAAAATTAAAAAAAAAAAAAACAACATGCCAAGCTGAGGTAAAATTTAGCATAGTATACCAAATTTTCTATTAACTTACTGTTCCCCCAGGAAACCTTTGACATGTAATACACAGTGGGTTCTACTATAAAATTTAGTATGTTTCTCATTTCTCTTCTTTAACAGTAGTATATTGCTTTTCTAGCAAAGAAATTATTGCTAGCTGTCCACTTACAAGTCAACGTGATTCCACATTTTGTTTTCTGAGAACTTAGAACTTTTATCATTATTTCTTACCAAATTTAAAGTTTAAGATTGAATTTTACTTCTTGATGTGAGGGTCTTGAATTATTTTCTCTTAGAAATTTCCAGATAGATGCTTTTAGAAGAACTACTGTCTGCTCTGTTAATGCTGGGCAGGACTATATCAGAGGAATTTTTTTTTTTAAATTATTTCTCTCCTCCATTGCATGAGCAATGTGAATAGCTTGACTCTTCTATGGTTATATTCAGCAATTTTTCTATAGCTTTGTTCATGTACAGGTTTGGCTA